ACCATTTTGGCCTTTTAACCTTTTAACCTTCTGGGTCCTCCCTAAATTGTGCCTGGTTTTTTGAAGCTTTTACAGAAGTGCAAGTTTAAATTGAAGGTTTAGTTTGAGTAGTTAGTTTGTGTTAGAAGCTTAGTAGTCGGGATAGGAAATAGTGTTAATGGGGAAAATGATGATGATGAAGAAGAAGATTATTATCAGAAAGAAGGAATGGTTTTTTGGTAGTGTTAGTAAAAAATAAAAGGTGTCTTGAAGGAAGAATTCATCAGCTTTTGTTTGTTTTGGTTTGGGGCTCGAGGTACAAGAAAAAGCGGTGGATGGCAGTTTCTTTTCTGTATCTTGTTGGAATATGATAAAATAAGTTATGTTCTTTTTTTATAAGGTAAAAAGCAGGGTTGGGTCATTGTTTTGGTTGAAATTACAACCCTGTTCAATCTTCTCCAAATATAAGCGCTTATGGTGCTCTCTATAATTTATGAAGTGTATGCCAGTTTGTCTTTTGTACCAATTGATTTTAACCCGTCCACCCTCCATGGCTGGGAATCAATCAATAAAGTTATTGTAGTCTTGCTTTATCTCTTTATCTTTTATTTTTCAATGTGTCTTTGTTTATTGTATATGATTTTGGGTGTAAAGTTTGGTTAACTGTTTTTTTGTTACATGTAAGTGTTAATTGAGTCGCGTCGAGTTTTGTGATTTTAAATGAGTTTGTTGACTTTGTTTTTTTAAACAAGTTTTAAAAATTATTTAAGATCAGTTTGTTTAGTATATGAGCCGTGTTTGTTTTGAACTTGAGTTTTAGTTTGACAGCCAGATGAAGTAACCAGATGTGTACTTGGATTGATTTTAAATTACGGGTTAGGTTAGCATTGATTAATAGTTGTTACGACTATGAAATGACTGAGATCGGGTATGGATTGGATTGTTATTAAATGGTTCAATGTTGAAGTTTGGCACAAGAAACCTAAAGTGCATTTGCACACTTTCACATGCATTAGTACTGGCATTTTGACTATACTGGTTGTCCCTACCTTCCATTAGAGTAGCTTGGGTTCTGTGAATATTTGAATGCTTGTACTTGGGATTATGGAAGCGCCAAGCACTAAACAGTGGATTTTTTTTAATGGACAATTGTGCTGTGCTTGGTTCAATGTTGTGTTTGTTTAATAATACTAGTATACAATATTCGAGAGAATGCCCCCCATTGGATTCTGATTTAATGTAGCAACTGGCACACTGATACCTTTTTTTTCTGGAAGACAAGATGCTCTATGACTTTTCCTCTCCCCATTGTCCGGGCCCTGCATTTTATATAATACTTATGGTGGGATGTATGTAATGTTCCGACCGAAAGTAAGAAATATGAAAAACTAGGGGAATATATTTTTTTTTATTTTTTAAAAAATAAATTAGGAATAATATATTTTATTTCTTTTGTATTTGGTAGAATAGATAGAAGATAATTTTTTTTTTCTGTTGGTTAAGATTAGGGTGATAATCAAGTCGTATGATGTCAGATTCGTGTTGAGTCATTACGAGTTTGTGTCGAACATTAATCAAATTTAACTCAACTCATTTAACTAATTGTGTCGTGTAGAGTTAACCTGTTTATTTTCAGGTTTTGTTCTTGTTGACCCATATAAATTTTGAATAAGAAAATTCAACGTTAATATTCTATTATCATTTAATTGAATTCATGTTCATATATTTTTCTTCAAATTAATAATTAACTCAAACAAATATAATAATAATAATAAGTAAAAATATTTTTTATAATAATTATGTCAGTGCTTAATAAATAATTAACATTTTATGTCTATACTACTAGATAAACATGTTACTTTCGTGTTTATTTTTAAATAAACGGGTTGATGATGTCAATTTTGAGTTTGATGCATTGAATTGAATATGAACCGTTTATATTTTTTGTTCGCTTGTCAGGTCATTTTCAAATTCGTGTCGAGTTCGATATCATATTAAGTCAAAAATTTTCACCCCTAACTAAAATGAAAAAATATATTTTTTAATTTAAAAATTTTATTTTAATTTTTTAGTTTTTTAAAAATATATATTTATATACATTAATACATATTTTATTATTGTATTTTTATATTAAATTAATGTATACATAATATATATATATATCAAAAGATATATAGACAAATAAGATACATTTCAATATAAATAATAAACTTTTTATCCACTTTTTTTTCGATTTTGAAAGGATTGATTTTGGTGAGTTGGAAGAAAAGTTAATTCATTTACTTTTTCATTCTTCTTACTTTTCTTTCTTACCAAATATGATGTTTTATTTATTTCTTAAACTTTTTATCATTTATTTTTTTCATCATATCAAATAGAATATAAAAATATACACGTACGTATATATATGAACAAGATCAACATTCAAGAAGTTGATAAAATATGAGAGAAATTCGTTCTATAACTACATACATCTAGGTACATGTACTCATGCATACAATTGTATGGAAATTTGTTTATAATGGAAACCAGGATATGAAAGAAAAAAGAAACAGGAAATGAAACTAAAATTAAAAAAAAATTTAGATATTCCTTTTTACATACCAAGTTCAATGGGTTTGTTGTGTTAAAGCATACCTAATTCTTAAGTAAACTCCTACTTAGATTTAAATTTGAATAAAATAGATTATAAATATCTTTTAATGCTTTACTCAAACTCATACTAAATAAATAAATATTTAATTTTTACTCAAATTTTGAATTATCAAATTTTACCCTCGTTTAAAGATCTAATAATTCTATTTATATTCGTTTAAATTTGGATATGTCCATTAGAATATTTTGTATCAAATCAAATTTTTTATTCAAATATTAACTTACATTTAAAATTTTGAGTTAGGGTTGGAAATGACATTAGAATAGAGTTATTTATGTTTGATACCTAACTTAGAATTTGTTTCTTATTTATTTTAATAATTACATTGTTTTCAAATCTAAATTGTTCCATGTCAAGCTTATGACTTAGAACATTATCATCTTTAATTCTTGGAGTTTTTTTTTTTTTTTAATATCATAACGATATTTATCATTTTTATGGATGTTTTTATTAATGTTGTGGTACAGAAAAAAAATTAAAAAAAGTAGTTATCACAAAAGTCGTAAATCACTCACAAAAAACGATACAAATAATTATCACAAAAAATATTAAAATTTTTGTTATAAAATAATTTATAAAACAAATAAAAATATTATTCAAATAATAAAATTTATCGGGTACAATACCCAAATTTTTTTCTATACTATAGTAAAGTCATTAATTTATTTCGTTAAAGTTCATCTTGAGTGAGACATACGAGGATCAACCCTCCTTCCTCTTTTTCAAAATCAGTCATCAGCTTGGGTTAATTGCTGAGAGGGGAAGAATTTGTGAGCTGTCTATAAGGTGGACTCAATTGCGAAACCCTGCCTTTAATAATGTTGTGCGTTTTGGTACTTTTTTTGGTACAATTGTCCCCAGCCAAAGCAAAACACTCCGCTTGTTTCCGATATTTTTGCTTTTTTTTTTTTAATTATCAGATTAATTTACTCGTCGTCCGATTATTTTTTTTTTTCGATTTGATCAAAAATAGGTCATTTATATTAAGATTAAGATAAATTTTTTATGACCTAATTTTAAAAAATTGACAAAATTTAAAATTAAAAGGTCTGAATTTACTTCTTTCACGCTTCATGGATGTGCAAAATCTTTAATGAAATCTTTGAATTCAACGGTTCAAATTCACGCCTTTCCTTTTATCGTGAACTTATGGCAAGCACGCATTGTTGTCCACCATGCCCTCTTGATGGTGACCATTGTGAATGCGAAGGTTTTGGTTACGGTCAACCCTACTTTTTAAGCCGTATTTTAATTTGAATTCGATTTGACTTATTTGAAATGAATTAATATTTTTTTCCTCTATTATTCAAACTTGAATCCGGATATATCATATTTTTATGAATTCATATT